AAAATTCAACGGATGGTTTACGGAACAATTATATTCGCTGTGTCGAAAAATACGTCGAGTATAATCGAAACTATCGAGGAGAGACGTCGTATCAATAGTTATCGCACATACGCATATTTGATGTACGTACTTGCACAAACGCGTTGACCCTCTCAAAGCAAGCCTTTGCAACAGGATTTTATTTCCGTAAGAGGATCCGAAACTTTCAGTTAGACTTTCGACGTATGCGTCGCGACGCAGCGTTCAATCGGCCGCCTTGAAATTTTTATGAAGTAACAAATCCGCAACTGCGCGCGGTTTTAAAGTTTCAAAATCACTATCGCAAATCGCCTTAAAATGACATTGTCTCGAGTGCCGACGATCGGCCGTAAGGTTCACCGTAATGATAAGGAAATTTATCGAAATTTAGTCACGCTTCGGTAAACGCGACAATTTGCCGTGTTCTTATTACACGAGAATCGCAAGTGCCGTTATACATTTGCTATTTGCAATTATTGCTTGCCAAAACGAAGGTCGATGTATAATGTGTCATATTACTTTTATAATCATTATCACACGATATGTGCATTGCATTTGACAAGCTTACTATCATTCACGGTGTGACGAACAAATATCACGACGATATTTTTCACCGTTCTGATACCTTAAAACGTCTCTGTTCTCAGATTCATTGAATCAAGAATAATCGCCGACGATGAAGGAAAGGGGTGGTACCGTGTAATTGAAATAAATAAATCGTGTACATCCTGTTTCCCTTTCTGTCTCTCTGAAAGCTCCTTGAATAGTCGCATAAACTAGTGGACTAATTTAATATGTGCCACCCTGCGCGTCGCGTAAGCTCAGTCGGTCCATTGCTGGACCGTCGTCCATCAGGATTTTATTGGACACACACGCGATGAAACGGGCCGATGGAGCGGGAAAAAAGGGCCGTCCGGCCGCGCGAGTGCCCGCTCCGGATACGTACGCGTTGACTGCGTCGCTAAGTTAAATTTTCCACGATGTTCAGAAGCGCCCGAGCACCGAACATCGCATAAGAGATCGTCCGCTCAGACACGCGTCTCTATTTGCATAACAGAGGCGCGTTGCATAATGGAAATTGCCCCGCGTTGTATAACATTGCGTGCTCGCAACGTGCCCGCGCGCGCACTCTCGCGCAAGCTAGCGCGCACTGCCCACATCGAGAAAGAGAAAGGAATTTCTCTCATTCGCGTGCTGGCGAATAATTAGCAGGCCTGCCCGTGACATGAAGTTTGAAGCTGTTGCTGACTGGATATGCGCAGCTGCCTTACATTTTCCACATTCCTTGGGCAGATCGGGGTCGCTAAATAAGATATTATTTCGCACGAACGCAGCCCGAGAGTTCTCCCCGGCTACGTGGCCGGTAACTTTTTCCTTTAACAATATAACGCGAATAATTCATTAATCTCTGTCTGGACTCCTTACAAAGACGGTGTAACGACCAGTTGTCGTAATGCAATACACGCGCGTCCGCGAGAATTCGCGACGTTACATCTTCATATCGTTGTTATCGCGCTAAATAGTCGTATTGCCATTTTTCCTCCTATCGATCGCCCGACGGCGATTATCCGTTTACGCGCGTTTATTTTTATTTTCGTCGGTATATTCTCGGAGTAATTACACGTTCATATCGCTTCACGTAGCCGGAGAGCGGAAGATTGATTACAAGTGCAATGCGCTCGGTAATGAAAACGCATAAGCCTCAATCGAGTACCGTGTTTTCAGATCGTTAGTACAAGAGCATTCCGGCTCTCCGAGCGTCGATCCATTATGTGTACGCACTGGGAAACAGGTACGATCGACAATGATACGGCATCTCGATAAGAAGATTAGAGTCGTATCAGCGTCGGTTAACGGCGAACTGCGCGATGCAGTCGTCGCCGTTTCGCGGCCGTTTAAATCAATAATGTTCGGATGTAATTTAATTTTATAAGGGCTTCGCGTTGCCGGCCCACCGTTTTATCTACGAACGCGAACGCTCTGCGTACGGCGCTTTAATAGACGTCCTAATAGGAATTATAACGTAAAATATCACGCAGCCATTTATATTTCCCGCCGCCTTCGGACACGCAGTTATCGGGAAATAATTGCATATCACGTAATCACTCCGCGACGCAGACTGCTGAACATTAAATTCGCGATTTATTTCACGTCGAATTTCGCCCCCCTCGTTTATCGCTGCGGTGGGCGAAATCGCCCATCGCGTAAATACTTCCTTGAAACAAACGAACTATATTTATAGCGCTCCCGCTGTTTAAATAACAATGTATAGAAACGCGCGATGCTATCGTGTCTCGTGTTCAAACTAGTATTGCTCCGCAAACTCTCGGTAACAGTGAGCATTTCTACAAAATTGCGAGTACACAAATATACGCGCGTGCACACACACACACGTCCGAAGGAAGGTGAATGACGATGACCCCACTCGAGAGATACCTTGAGTCTTTTAATGAGGCGTATAAGAGGAACGTCAATATTAAACGAGAACACGTAAAGGTAAATGCAAATTTGAGAATCGTTTAATGGAAACCTCGTTCCACGAGCAATAAGTTAAGAGAATTCTCGTGGGGAATAATTATCCGCGAATCAATAATAAAGATCAATCCGTGGACTAACGTCAGAATCGACATCGCATCGATGGCCTTTTAATGCGCGATTTGCCATTCCGTGCGTGGAACCGAATGTCAATCGTTACTGAATCGCCTGACAGTTCCGCCTCGCGACACGCCGCTACACCGACGGCCCGTCCACCACGTGTCACCGACTCTCCGAAGAAAGAACTCTCCCAGGAGAAATCGAAGGTAATACTGAGAGAATCGACGGAGCGATCTCGAACCTTAATTTTTACTCCTCAAAGTAGTTATCGGACAACGAGGTGGAATCACGCCGGTGATACGTTCGAATCGAGAATCCGGATCTATCGACGTATCGGATGGGAAAAGCTCCGACATGACGAAGAACGATGTGTTCTCTCGCTTTCCACTCGCGCGAATCACGGTCGCGTCGCGTTCGTAACGCGTGTTCGAGTGATTACATTGCAAATTTGACGTACGACGGCGCGTCGCGTACGTTGTAATAACTCCAGCCCTGCCATTGTCGTTCAATGATGCTGAATCCCTCCGACGTACGAGGAACGGAAGTGTCTCTATAACACACTCCCCGAAGATCGTTTTCCTTATCTTATCGCTCGAACATCCCGGATGTGTGCTATTCACGCTGCCACTATATCGCGGTGCTTCGATGACGAAGCTCGCGGCCTTCTATTCTGAAGTATAATTACTGTTATATCATAATACCCTGTAATTTAGCGCGATAATGATGTTATGATATCATTATTATAATTATGTTAATGATCGATCGATATAATTCTCCTCCCGCTCGATAGCCGTACATAAGTAAATGACGGAGGAATTTCGGAAATTGCCGCAACAATCGGCGATAATTGATCGGCCACGCCGAAACGCGACCCGAAATGCCACTGCTGATGTTCGACGCACCCGTGACTACTCCAGGCTATCTGGGTTGTTTCTTAAAGGAAAAGGAAGTTAGAAATTATAGGGTCATCGGGTACGACCCCCAACGACACGGTTACGGCGGAAATAATGTAAACCAACATATGGCTCGTGCATTTTAAAACCGCCGCTCTTCGTACCGTCCGGTACCTGTGCTCGGTATATATGTATATACACAATATTGATCCCCATGCTGTTCACGATTTACTTGTTCTTTTCGTCCGCGTTGCTCCTGTTTCCATCTTTAAAAATGTAAAGCGACGATAGTCATGCCCGCCCAATCTTTCATTCGATAAATCGTCGGTTTAGCGACCACCTATTCCCACTCCCGACGCCCTTTTTGTATCGCGCTACAGCGGCCGCGATCGCTATTATTCCCGCCCGCTTCCGCTAACAATACCAATTAGCACTTCCATAAATTCGTGGCTTTTTCCGTTTCCTCGCGGATAATACTTCTGTGTCACGCCACCGTGTGCACTCCACAAATTCTCATTTAACCGTGTACGGGAGGTTTCATCGTTATTTAAGTCTTCGCCTCTATACACCGGAGAATTTACCAAAGCACCACACTTTTCGTCAGCTCGCATGACACTTAATGAGAGTCCATTTTCTTTCTTAAATCCGTCTTCGCTTCTCGCGTACTCGCGTGCCTTTCACGTTCGTATTTTATATTTGTAATTTACACACGCGTTCATTTCCACACGCTTGCAAATTAGCAGTAGCTATTCGACAGAGCTGTTCCATCGTCGCTTCCCGATATCGTGGGATCCGTGCGAAATCAACGGTGTGGATTGATTCACCCTCGTTTATTTTAATTACGCAATCGCGCGACACCGATATAACTCTCTGAGCGTTTCTCAAGCGCGGAAAGAGGACTCCGTTTTCGCGTGAATTCTATCGCACGCGCTCGCGGCCGATGCGTAAAGTTTAATCACGTTGTCCAAGAAAGAACAGCGATACCTGCGAGAGAAGGTGCACACGCACGTCCCCGACACTCCAATATCTCTCTCGCGATATTACGAAACTAGAACAACGCAATAAAAAGCATTAAAAAATACTGAAATGGTGGCGTGTGACTTTATGAAGAAAGTTTCGCAAAATGGCATGTCGAGTTAAGTCGGATTTATGATATAACCATAATGGACGGTATACCACGAGCTCGTATTCGGATGTCACGGTTCTCTCTTACGCACTTCCCGAGTGGACTCGTATATTTTTCCCGCGTGCCGCTCTAAACTCTCATACTTCAGTTTTTCGCGAATGCGTTATCCGTCACTGCGATGCGCGCACTTGCAGCCTTCCACCGCTGGGCGCGACTCGATAATAATTCCCCGGCGAGGAGGAAGTATCTGAACGCGCGAGGCACCAGCGAGACGCGACCAGCTCGATCTGTCGTTCTCTTAAACGCCGAAGGAAAGGCGAGAAAACGCTCCCGGTTATCCGCCGGCGAGCTTGAATCCGCGGACTTACCTTCGGACGAGTCCGCGAACGCAACCAAGATCCACGCAGTCCACGGGACAAGGATGGCGGTGATTATTGTCATACTTATTATCTCCGAGGGTTTCGCCGTTTAATTTCCGTCACGTACGCGCACTTGGTACAAAACCACGCGAGCCGGAGTCCAGATGCAGACTGACTTGTCGTACGGAGTCCTGCAGGAGCAACACGACACGCATGCGTCCTGGCCTCCACGTGCCTGTCTCTTTCGTATCTTTACTAGTCACGGGGACATTTGTGATTTCCCGGGCAACTCGTTCTCTCCTACTGCACGCTCGGAAACCGGATATGGCATTGAACGTATCGTGCGATACGCTATATCGCGCTAGAAACCGCGAGCGGCCTAAGAACGAATCGAATTTCCCTCGTTCTTTCTCGCGTCGCGGTTCCTCGTTGCGTCTCAACGGAGGCGCGTATGAAAATAATATGAAAATATTCTCACTTCGTAATGCGAATTCGGAATATCCCGAGTAATCCGCCCACCGCCGCCGTTTATTAGCGCGCTCGCGCGCTCTTGAAATCGCGACTTCGGACTTCGTTCTGCTGGATTTTGTTTTTCGACGAGTTAAGCGAGTATGTAACGCGCGATAAAATGACATGAAGATGTTAAAATTGCGCGAGCTCTTATTCATCCCGGAACAGCGAGAAGCGTAGTTTATCGAGTTCCGTTTTATCACGTACCGGAGTATAACATTGTTAGCCGGAATCACCGTTGCGGTGCGGATGGAACAAAAAGTTAAATTTCCGCGCGATCCTTTCGAAATCCCGTTGCTCTCGCCGCGCTCTCGGCAGAAAAGAGTGTATCAGGAACCGCTCATTGTTCCCGAAATTAATGCCGGGAACCGCAACTCCGTCTTTACAAACGGCGCCGCGGCGCGCACACGCTTTGATAACGCGAGATGCACGGAAATAGGGAAACGGAATGGAAATAATTCGCCAGGCTGTTGAGGCAGCCGGGATTAGTGTAAGCCGTTAGGTACGTTCTCGCGTCTCGAGCGTGCGTGTGGCAGCGTTTCTTCTCTGAAAACGTCGGGAATAAGGGGAGCAAAAGAGAGAGAGAGAGAGAGAGAGAGAGAAAACCGAGGGTGGTGAAGAGGGAGAAAAGGAGGGCGAGCGAGGTGAAAGGAAGATCGGGGGAGGATGCGAGAACGACGCCGGAAGTGAGCAAACATATTCCACCGAACGAGCATCGTTAGCGCGAGATTCAGTCTTCGAGTTTTTCGCGTTTGATATGAATTTTTCGCCTTTGCCGGCGGGCATTAGCGCACGTTTTTCGTTTAGCGGATTCCCGGCTGAAAGTCGCGCACGACGGAAACCAACGAGGTGGAGCCCGCGTTCGTAACGGGGAAGTCAAACGAGAAAACTTCGCGGATTAAGCGCAATCAAGTACCGATAATTCCCTGGTGAATCGTGTCTCCTCTCTCTCTCTCTCTCTGCCTCTCCCCCTCCCTTCCTCCTGTTCTCCCCTTAGCCGTTCGGGCGGTCGCACCGGGGGATAGGACGAAAACGGAAACGAATGGGTTAGAGAGACCCCTCGCGTGTCCCAGCTCGAAGGAAAACCGAATTGCTCGGATTGGATGCCGCCGTGTTCGCGGCAAACGCTATCTCTTACCCGGCATCGACACCCGCGAAAGCACCCGCGGGCGTTATCTACCGTATTAATCGGGAAGTTCCTCGCGAGAGTCCTTTAACTATGTAACATTAATTTTAATATCAATTCGACGACTCGTGGCTCATTCTCTCGATGGCGTTCGCGGCTCCCCAGCGTGCTCGCCGATGCGAATTAATGCAACGCGACGTATCGCGGCATAAGTTTGAGAATGAGCTACAAATTCGACGGTAATCGAGGCTCTCTTGCAAATTTCCTCGATCGAAAAGACTTCGTCTCGTCGAAAGTGCGAGATGATTAACGTGCATTTGCAGAACACGAACGTGTCGCGACTCCATTTCTGTGAACAATTGTTAATTCAAAAAGGTAAGGTTCGATGAAACGTCGACGGTGGGGAGATTATTTCGATAGAGGAGACGTCGTGTCTCGTTCGTCGAATTCATCAGTTACCGAACTTGCTGAACACTCGACGCAATTATACAACTTGCATCTTGAGTCGGGAGTTGTTTCGGGAGTTCTTGTAAAAATGCAAATACGTATTACCCGCTCAAACTCGTTGAAGTATGTTAATTATATAACGGAAAGTTCGAAAGGGACATCGGATGTATAGTACTAAATGCTCCGTGTGCCCTGCGTAACGCATACGAACTTGCCGGATATTATACTGTAACGTCGGTCGCAACGCGTCGCGCAACCACCATCAATCGTCATTATTCCCTTACAGATGTGACATTTATGGTTGAAAATCCTGAAAAGTAACGTCCGTCATTATATATATATATATATATATATATATATATATACACACACACACACACACACACACATACACACATATATATATACACCCAACATTCAACATGCAACTTGCGCTCCCGGCACGTCGGTCGGTATATCGGCGAAATCGATCGCGATATAAAACCCAGTCTTATCAAATAAACATTACAACTTATAAATTATAATATAGCGCGCGTACAATTAATTTCCCACGCTGTGATTATGCAATCTGCATGTGTACACGACGAACCTTGAAGAATATATCTGCGTCGATAGCTAGTTAATTAAATCGAGCTGTATACCGTCACGCATACAAATAGGATCTCGCTATGCTGTGCGACCGTTGCGGCGCAACGTATCTAGCGCATTGCGGTTTTCATATTATTAATTTAACGTCAACGCGCACGAAATAAACACATTTCATCGGAAACGATTACTTTGTAATGGCTGACTTTTTAACGGGGCGTTTATTCTAGATATCGATGATGGTTTGTGCAAAATTGAAGTTATTATTAGTTATTTAGAACGATAGGCTCCGTAATGAGGTCCGGCGGGAATCATCGTTCGTAGTTCGCAAATTGTTATTCGTGTATGCTCGTGGACAAGGAAATTTTAGCGCGAATGCGATCATCGCTCTATTATATTCTATGTGAAATCATATAAGCTATACACAGTAAAATATTTGGTGTTAAATTTAACACATTTCACATATCCCAAACGGTCCACATAAATTTTTGTTTGAATTTAAAACAAGGTGAATGTATTGAAAAATAATGCAAATATTATGTAAAAATGAACACAAAATTAATATGTTAAACGACACTGAAGTATAAAATGTATTATTTTAACGCTAACAAGTATTATTTGATGTTTACACATGTTGAATATCGATTCAACATAAAATATTGAGATAACATAAACGAGTACGTTAAAAATTGTTCACAACAATTTTAACAAAGATCAATTTTAACACAAGTATAAAATGTTTTTTACTGAGTATGATATTGCGATACTAGATATTTTTAGTACTAACTGAAGCATGTAGCGATATTAATGATAAAGTAATATAAAAATTAGAACATATAACATAATACGTGACATCGATTACTTATAGATTAAGTATACACATTTCTCCTGTTTAAGTAATATTTAACAATTTTTATAAATCTTATAAAAGACGTGGAAAGATCATCTTAATTATTGTATTAAGTAATCTTAATTATTAACGAGTGAAATTTCTACGATTTGCAGCGAATTAAATAATCGTGATGATCTTATAACTTATTAAAATGCAATAATCGCTATTCAAATCGCTGTCCAAAGTATTGAATAATTAAATATTATGTAACGAGACGTAATGTCAAATATTATATTATTGTGTGTGATTTAAATTATGAAGTGAAACATACAGTAGAGTAGACATGCCTTTGGCGCGCCGAAAGTCAGTGACCTTTGTTATAACATACGCGCGTACAGCGACGCTCTCGCTGTCATAACTATTTTCCACGTGACTCGTGACGATTGAACATATATGAATACGTTCGTTCGATATTTTCGATATTTTTAACCAATCAAAGTTAGTGCAAAGCGCGATTTTACGACATCCTTGTCGCAGTCGTCATCGCTGCAACAGTTAAAATGCGCGTAAGATTTCATGGATTATTTATCACGTTTTGCTTTTATTAATTTTTAATGCGTCATTTTGCATGTATGCAAAGCCACATATTGATATTCAATCTTCCCTTCCCGTTGAATTTCGAAGTTTAAACGCGCGAGTTTACATATCTGCAAAATGTACCGTTCAAATGTATTTCGCACTTTTACCGTTAAATCCTTCCGTTCAATATTTCAGTTTCTTTTATGCTCGAGCGTGAAATTATATCGGTAGCGTGTCAGTGGTGTTTTTGCTGTATTAATTAAAAAAAGCAATAATATTGCGTATATTCACGTTGTATTGTTTTTATGCACAATTAGTTTGTTTTTATGCATTATTCACAGTTTTCTGTTTTTGAATTCAAAACGGCAAGTTGTATTTTCGTTGTTTATCTACGCCTTTTTGTTGAAATATGCAAACACTAAATATTTATTTATAAAAAATCAAGTATACGAAAAAGAATTTTTTAAGTATTTTCCCAGAACTCATAAGATTACAAATAATTATTAAAAGAAATGGAAATTTCTAGAAAAATGTGCGCACTAAAGGATTGAGCTTTCAAACAGAATTTACAGTTGTTGTCTCTCTATTGTTGATTCATATAAAACTCTCATATGTAACTGTAATTGAGAAAACTATATATTCTTTGTTTCAGGTCTAACGGAATTCGCGGACCACACAGCAGATACGATTCCGAGGTACGCGGATGTACGGGAGGATACGGTTTAGGTTGAACACGGCCGGGTCAGAAGGTAAGTTCACAGACTCTCCATACTCCCACATTCAAACCTTTGTAGTCGGAGCGTCGTAAATTTAAAGGGTTACTATCACGTCTTGCTTTGATTAAATTTAAAACAGAAGCATTCTCGATACGTCAGAGCCGAGGATTTGAAACGCAAGAGACACGAACGTAGGAGAAATTTCCATTCTCCCGAAAGACTAAAATCGATATTCATGTTCTTAGATTAAAACTAGTAGCTCGACATTTTCACAGTGAAAATTTCGCGAAGCATTTCGTTTCGCACGAGACGTGCGAAATATGTGTATTATACGCGCACGATGTAAATGTTTTAAGAT